TGTGTGTGTGTGTGTGTGTGTGTGTATCATACTTGTTTATTATAAACATACAGGGCATACAAAGAACTTGCACTTAAATTAAATTACAGCATCTATTGTGACAAGGCCATAAAAACAACAACCCAAATTTAAAAGGAGTACATTTTAACTGAATCATTTAGATTTAGGGTTTTGTTATTTATTTTTTTAATCACAAATCTAGGGGCCAAACGTGTATGGTTATGGGTGGTTTGCATTCTTCAGCAGCCCACCTAAGTGTAATTTCTTTGTTTGATGATAAAAATGTGAAATACACTTGTTCTCTGTTGTCCTTTGAGGAGGTTCTAGGGTCGGTGGAGTTCCTCCGCTAACTAAATCTACAGTTTGGTCTATTGCATGTTTCCACCAGTAGAGGTCACTTTTGTTCTAGCTGGTAGCTGTGCTGTAGTTCTAGTTTTTAAACTGAATTGTTTTTTATCCGATGTCAAAAAAAACACTCATTTAATGTTCAAAAACGTTTACCCGAGTAGTAAGAATAATATCAATCCATGTGGATGATTTAAAAATACATTTTATGGCCATAATAAGCAATGTAAAATCATAGTTCTCAAAGACTACAATACCTTTGACTCACTGTGGGGGGCGGCAGAGCGTACTTCCCGGGTAGTTTACCGGAAGTGGACGAGAGGAAGAAGAAGAAGAAGAATAACAGACTCTCCTTCGCTAGCAAGCTAGCTGCTGCTGGGAAGTAGCGTCAACAATTTCAGGTATTGTGAATTTTACAATCATAATACTAGTCTAAAACTGAATATACACGTAGATAGAAGACAACAAACCAGAATAGCACTCTTCCCCGATGTGTGTATTCGATATAAGTGCACCGAAAGCGGGACGTTGTCTTTGTTTTGATTCGTGTTGACGAAAGTCAGGCTTCAATGTTGTGTTTTTCACCGAAGGCCCAAACTGTTGTGACTTCTCTCAAACCGAGTAGCTAATTCCCAAAAACGTTGTTACGTCATGTTACGTAGCTTAAAAAATAATTTATGTCTACTCACACGATACCATTGTTTATCTACTCGTTGAAGGATATTATCATAATGAGTTATGCGGAGAAACAGGACGACATAACGAGGGAAGAGTGGATGGAAAAACTCAACAATGTCCATATACAGAGAGCTGATATGAACAGGCTCATTATGAACTACCTGGTCACAGGTGAAGTACCCATTTATTTAAACATTATTAGTCAAAGTTTACTCTCTGTTTGTTTGCTTGAATGTGGAAATGTGTTCTGTTTAACAGAGGGCTTCAAGGAGGCCGCGGAGAAGTTCAGGATGGAGTCTGGAATAGAGCCCAGTGTCGACTTGGACTCCCTAGATGAACGGATTAAGATCAGAGAGATGATCCTGAAGGGACAGATCCAGGACGCCATTGCACTGATCAACAGTCTGCACCCAGAACTGCTGGATACTAACCGTTACCTCTACTTCCACCTACAGGTAACATACAACACACTGCCTCCCAAGTTTTCAGAAGTCCAGGTTTTTGCACTTCTATCGATCTCATTTCCACTTCTGTTATTTTCACTTCCCTGTTGCACCCTTTTGCGTTTGCAGCAGCAGCATCTGATCGAGCTGATCCGTTTGAGGGAGACCGAAGCTGCCCTCGAATTTGCCCAGTTGCAGTTAGCGGAGCAGGGGGAGGAGAGCCGGGAATGTCTTACCGAGATGGAGAGGACACTGGCGTTGCTGGCTTTTGACAACCCAGAGGATTCGCCTTTTGGAGATCTGCTCAATATGATGCAGAGACAAAAGGTACGCTTGGAGCCTATCAGTAAAGCTCATCACTGGCGTGTCTTGCACTTGACTTCTTATTGGAATCAGTTTAAACTGCTACCTGTAATTCATGATTATCCCACAACAAAGGTTTTCTGTGTCATCCGAACACAGTTCAATGTTAGTGCTGCAGAATGTTTCAGACAAATTCCGCATATTTCTTACCCAATTTTCAAATGAATTATATATGAATTACTTGATTTGTGTGTGTATTTTCGGGTGCTCTCTGCGTGTGATCCACTGAAGGTATACAAAGCGATCACACGTCTGTGTCCTTGTCCCTCAGGTGTGGAGTGAAGTGAATCAGTGCGTGCTAGACTATGAAAACAGAGAGTCAACACCCAAGCTGGCCAAGCTCCTGAAGCTACTGCTGTGGGCTCAAAATGAACTCGACCAAAAGAAAGTGAAGTATCCCAAAATGACAGACCTCAGCAAGGGAACCATCGAAGACCCAAAATAAGGACCCCCAGTGAAAACATACATCATCATTACAACAAATGGACACATTTCCTTTATCTATTTATACCCCGACAAACTGACTCATACAGAGTACAACCTTTTCTTCTTTTTGTAAGGGTTGCTTTTTTGATACTTTAATAACTTAGAACATGTAAACTGGATTGATGGCATTTTAAAATGACTTCTCACACTAAAGTAACATGCAGACCATTATTATAATTTACATATTTGTTTATGTAGAATTAGTATATTTCAGCTACACTAGTTTTTCTGTCTGTTGGCAGGGAAAGTTGTCTGCGTAGGAGGGTGTGAATAAAGCCTAAATTAGGCTGTCACTTTCTGTTTGCGACCAGTTTGATGTTCAGGAGAAATGGTTGGCTCGGTGTTCCTCAAATACACAAACTTTTACCGTACATCCAAACACACACACACATTTCAGCTGGTAGTTTTCAGCTGGTAGTTTTCAGCTGGTAGTCTTATGTGACGGCATTGGCCAAAACAAGACACTTGAGATCTTTGGAACTACTGTGACTTTGAAAGTTTGAGTTCAGCTTAAGAAACGTGCCGCATTATTGCTTGAGACATTATAAAAAGATGCAAACATAGACTGGAACCAAGAGAAGAGAACGTTTCTAGCTATACATCACGGTAGCAGTTAACAAGTGGGACAAGGAAGGATTCCTGGAATGTTAAAAAAGCTCAGAGGCAGCCTCAGTTTCATACAGTTCTAAGATATCAGATATTAAAAGATGTGAATGAATAAATCTCTGTCCACAGACATGGAGACACTTATACAGATAGATTATTAATGTGTATGGAATAAGTAGCTCTTTTGCTAAATTTGATGTGCTTTTTTTTTTGGCTCCGATATTGTTTTGCAATAAAAGTGACATTTTAAACAGCGCAAGTCATAAAAAATTAAACGCTTGCAGTGTTTTTAATTCTGGAATTCTCATAAAAAGTGGTGCATGTACTCAAGTACTGCATAGTTATGAAGTACATTTACCTGAGTGTCCATTTGATGGTATTTAACATTTCTACTACACTTCCTTTGAGAGAGAAATATTGTACAATTAACTCCACTGCAATTTTCTGACACTTTACAGATGACAAAGATTCACAAATAGGTATCCATTTATCTTATATGATGCAGTAGATTAAACTAGTCACCTAGTTACCTAAGTGGTTAAACTAAGCTCCAGCCAACAATACAAACTGCTGCTTAGCATTTTACTGTATTTGTTGGTTGAGGTGGAGCTAACTTTACTTCCAGTTGTATCATGTTAGTGCATCATATTTTACGAGTTCATCACATGTTTTGTATATAAAGTTTACCTGTAAAATAGTGACTAAAGGTTAACATTTACAGTTGATCACTTTTACTTTCAACCCTTTACTTTAACATCACAAAGTACAGAGAATCTTAACTTGTACAAATCAACTAATAACTTATGATATAGTATTAGAGGTAAAGCTACCCAGCAGTATGTGTATCATTCATATAAGCTCCACTTTTAAGTTTTTTTCTGCCACTGTATTAAATATGTTTCTTATAATGGGAAATGAGTAATTATCCAGAAATGGGCAATTTTGCATAGTGAGTACTTTTACTTTTTGGTGTATTTTGATGCTTAATAATACTTTTACTGAGGTAACATTTTAACTGCAGGACTTTAACTGTACATAGTGCAACTTTTACTGAAATATCCGAGTACTTCTTACGCCGCTGTGTATTAAATATGTAACTTATAATTGAGTATTTATCCTTGTGGTGCTACTACAAATGGGCAATTGTGCACACTAAGTACTTTTACTTTTTGGATTTTAACTGCAGGACTTTAACTCGTTTTTACACGAGTACATATTGCAACTTTTTTACTGAAATATCGGAGTACTTCCGCCACCGTGTATTAAATGCATTCCTTATAATGGAGTGAGTAACCCACCCCCACCAACCCAGAGGATGAGCGAGCAGCTAAAAGTTGTGCAGAATGCAGAGTATTATGTAACTCAAGCAGCCAGAGGCGGACGGGCCGTTTTAAACATCCTTGAGGGGCCACTGCGGTCAGGTGGAGCAGCGGTACATCCTGGTGCTCAAACGATGCTCCCGTAGACCTCACTGTGTTACATATGTTTCTATTTGCACCGTCATGATTGGAGCCGGTGACCGGAGCCAGGCGTCTTCCTCCGGAGGTTTCTTTGGGGGATGACACTGAGTCGGCAGACTAGACAGTTGAGACCCGTTTAGAAGATCATTAACCCTACCGATCACCAGGAGAACTGCGGAGTGAGGAGGCTGGAGAGAGAGAGAGAGAGAGAGAGAGAAATCTGACACGTGGATTACTCCTCGAGAAAAAAACACACACTCCCTCCTCCAGAACCTCAGTTCCGTGATCATCGCCTGCCTGACAGTCCAGTCGTGCTGGTTATGGATCAGAGTTTCTTGTTAAGGTATGGTTAGGATTCCGCAAACACTCATATGAGGTCTTAACGTTTACTTTTACTGACTTGATCGAACCCGGAAAGAGATCGAAAGGAAATCAGCCGAAGCGGTTGAAAGGAAGGAAGGAAGGAGGACTACCGTTAACTCGCGCTGAATGGCAGTTATTCAAAAATATGGCAAGAAACATAGTCCAGATTTGGTCTGTTACAAGGAAAGCCACCCGTCCGACAAGGTCGGAGCTCCTGGGTGTCAGAAGAAGTGGAACGAACACAACAACACCTGGTCCAGGTAACGCGTTTAACCTTCATATTGACAAACGTTCAACTGTGCTGCTTGTTCCTGGTTAACGGCAACGTTACAAACGACCCCAGAGGAGAGCGATTAACTGACATTCATAATGATACTTTCAGCAACTCTTTGTCCTATAACGCTTCATGTGCCGCATCAGGAATATTGACTATTGACTATGTAACGTTAAAGTACCTCAACGTGTCGTGGTGGTAAAACATGACACGTATCACATTTTGCTGGGTGAGTTAAGATGAAGATGTGGAGCCACAACGTATCGATCGAGCGGCTGGTGAAGAAGGAAGTAGACTAAGCGGTGCTTCCTTAATGGAAAATAAATGGTCGATCATAAAATATCATTCACTTATTATATATGGTTTTGACACCATACTGCATGAATCCCCTGTAGACTCAACTAAACCATAACTCTTAAACTTAACACTGATGGAGATACACTTTTAGAAGTTAGGGTTCCAAACGGCTTAAAGGGCCGAGGCTCTCACCTTTCTTCTGAATAACCTTATTTGAAGAAATAGGTGGTTTTCAGGGGTTCTTTTGTAAGATTAGGGGGTACCCATTAAGAACCCAATTCATCCAAAGAACCCCTTTAGGAAGAAAGAGTTCTTCAAGGATTGATTAAAGCTTGGGTGTTAAAAGATAACGCACACAGACCCCAAAAACTGATTGTCAGCCATGATTGTTGTGGGTACATCATTTCTAAGTGAAACCCTTGGAATATAAAAGAGTTCTCTGTAGAACCCCCTGGGTGGGTTCTTGTTAGCACCCTTAGGTGGAGGAAATATTCTGGGTAGAACCTCAGAGATGGTTTTGGGTGGAATCGTCACACCATACTAGGGTTCTCTGTAATATCCTCTCAGAGATGGTTCTAGGTATACGGTTCTAGGCCTTTATGTTGGGTTCTGCCATGAGGACAAACTGAATAACCCTTTATGACTTTAGTTAGCAGCTTTATTTCTGAGAGTATAGAAGCCACTTTGACTCATGTTGAATGTACTTATTAGATAAGTGATCATGTGGTCTTTTGTCAAAAGGTTTGTCCCCCAAATGTCTGGTTCAGTACGTTGTGCTCCCCCCCCCCACAGGCCAGAGGCGAGGGTATGGACGGTGGTGCTGCTGCTCGGGACGTGCCTCCTCTACTGCGCCCGCGTGGCGATGCCCATCTGTGCCTTCAGCATGGCGGAGCAGTTCAACTGGACCAAGAGGGAGTCCGGCATGGTGCTGGGCAGCTTCTTCTGGGGCTACTGCTTCACCCAAGTGTTCGGGGGCTACGTCAGCGACCGGTGGGGAACAATAGTCCTGTTGTGACATGACATTGGCCTCTGTGAAAACTGAGTCTCTTGGTGTCTACAGTACACAGATGTGTCATGAATGCTGACTGTGGCATTTAATTGCCACCTGTTTTAGCTTCCTGCTCATCGTATTATTTGCATTGCAGTGACGCAAACAGTCCGTTTGTGTTTGCTCAGACTGCACAGATGATCCAGTTACATAAAGCTGGATGTTTTCCTTTGTATATTATCATGTTGTTAGCTCTTAAATTGCTTGCAGTGACATAATAAACAGATAGGAGTTGCATTCACTACAGAACCGTCACACCAAAGTTCCTCAAAATGTATCCGTTTGACTTTGCAGAGTTATTTTCTCTAGTGTTTGCACAAAGTTGTGCCAACTCTCACCTCCTTTAGCTGAAAAAAGCCGCTCTCTGAGCAGGCGGAAGTTAAAGCTGATACAGACTGTGTTCATTTATACTCTGTGTCCTCAGGGTTGGAGGTGAGAAGGTCCTCCTGCTGTCTGCAGCAGCCTGGGGGTCGATGACCGCCTTCACCCCGATCCTGGCCCACTTCTGCTCCCAGCCGATCCTCTCCATGACGCTGGCCCGCTTCCTCATGGGCTTGTTGCAAGGTGAGATGGACGCACAGTCTGGACCGAGGTCTGGCGTAATTATTCTACTTATTAAGTTTGTTTGCCTGTGTTATGAAATAAGTTAAAGGCAGACAACATAAAAAAGAGATGCATATTAAAGTCAGTGTCGTCTGAGTGATTGTTTTTCTCTAAAAGTACATTTTTAGGTACTTTTTTTTATGCAGTGAGGCCTGAAATCCTGTTGCATTTCATCAACAGAAGAAAAGAATGATTCATTTATTTATTGAGTAACCATATGCCATTTATAGACCCCTGTGACGAGTATGAATTCCAACATGTTTAGTGTGTGGCATCTTTCCTTTGTTTGTTTATCTGGGGCAGAACAATCCTTTACATCATGCATTGGTGTAGTGATTAGGGCGTGTTTGTAACTGGGCTTTGGCAGCAAGATCTTGTTACAAAACTAAAGCAGGACGTTTATCAGCACCTGTCAAACGTATTTGCTGTGTAATTCACACTGGCTCACATTTGTGTTTAGCCTTTTATTGCCTCGTTTATTCCTCTTTCGAGTTTCGCTCTAAACGTTAAAACCCAATTCTGTTTTTTGTGTCCTGATTTTAGGGGTTCATTACCCTTCCCTGGCGAGCCTGTGCTCTCAAAAGGTGGTGGAGAGCGAGAGAGGCTTCCTCATGAGCACCGTGGGTAGCGGCTCCTACCTGGGGTGAGTCATAAAGGGTTGGTAAAGAGACGTGTGTTTCTTCTTTGAAAATCACTGTTGCAAAAGAGGATTTGAAAGCTGCATTAAGTCTGACTCACCTTGTTCAGCCTGCATTCTCCTCCCCTTCCACTGTCTCTTTTACCAGGCCACCGCGGTTAGCACAGCCCCAAGTCGATTGTGATTGGTTTAAAAAGATACAAACAAGCCAGAGTGGTTTTTTTCCTCCCCTCTACCAGAGTGTTAATGTGTGGAGTCAGACCTCTCTTTAGTGCTGACACGGCGCTGTGGAGATAGGTTATGACTATGTGAGACTTATTGTGATATATGCAATATGGTGAATTTATTGTCTATATGCAGGCGGCAACCTCCTGGTCTGAAAGTTGAAGTGTCTCAAAGCTGCATTCTCTCTAGTGTCCACCAGGGGGCGTCTCCTCTGGTTGTATAGAAGTCTATGAGAAAATGACTCTACTTCTCTCTTGATTTATTACCTCAGTAAACATTGTAAACATGAGTTTATGGTTTCACTCTCTAGTTTCAAGTCTTCTTCAATACAGCAGGATGTTCATTTAGTAAATGATGGTCCATTTAGAGTCAAACAGACCATAAAGCAGAGTATGCTTTAGGGGCGGGGCTACCTTGGTGATTTACAGGTTGGTAACACTGCGTTGTCTGGTCTGGGAGTTGTATTCACTTGATATTTTTAATTGTAACATTTTTGGTAGCTTAAAAATGTCTTATCCAGCGTTCGGTTGTACTTAGCTCCGCCCTCTTGTGTCACTTTCGGTTGCAAAAAAACAAAACCCACCAAAGGGTGACGTCACCTCTTATATACAGGCTGTGTATATGCAGATGTTGGACATATTTTACCTGAACATCCTGATATTTGTTTGCATTTCAAAATTTCAGCTCGTCGAGTACTTTACGACGTTCCGACATCTCGTGGCCAGGGTGTGTTTGTTTGACTTGTCATGTCTTGTGACCTTTTTCTTTCTCAGCACTCTGGTGATCGGAGGGGCCGGCTCCCTCATGCTGGACCTGTACGGCTGGCAGAGTGTGTTCTATGTGTCCGGTCTGCTCTCCGTCCTGTGGGCCTACTGCATGTGGAAATATCTGCTCAAAGGAGAAGGCAAGGGGAGCCCTTTAATGAATCCTGTAGCTGCTTATTTGTGTTTAAGGAGTCTGTGTCCCTCTTTGTATTGCTCACATGCTTGTGTTCATGTGCGTCTTGCAGGGCCTATCATCACCCTGGAGTCCCTGGGTGGGTCCCAGTCCAAACTGTCCAAAAGACACTGGTTAAGGCTCCTTAAGCAACCTGCAGTCTGGTGAGATAAAGATGAAGGAAGTGTTTGTGGGGGGGGGGGGGGGGTGTTTGTGCAAGCCTCTGTGTGTATGTGTGTAGAATGTATCTCTGCCTTGACAGATCATAAATTAGTACGGAGGTCTCTGTGAGAGAACTTTCTGTAGACTAATGTCCAGCTTTTAGAAGTACCAGATTTTAGAAAGCCTCTGGATGCCTCGTTCATATTCATGCATTATGTATTCTTCATGCTTTCAACCACATGCTACTTGCCTTTAAGGGGAGACCCTACAGGTGAATTGGGTAAAAACCAAAAATCAATCACTTACTTACTTACTTAGAAAATACTGTCAACCGCCATAAAGAAATCTATTTTCGCCATGTATTTTTGAATAAAATGTTGTATGAATCAGGCTATGAATGATATATGAACAAACCCCTCTGTGAAAACCTTCAGAATATAGAGAGGAATGAGAGAGTCTGAGAAACAGCCTTTAAAGAAATGTTTTGTAACATGACAGACATTTTCTATACATCGCTACAGGTGAATAGGATAAAAAAAATTAACCAATAGACGCCAACATGAAACTTCACCAGTTGATTACTGACATTAAGTCAATAACTGTTTGTATTACAAGTTTTCTGAAATGTAATGTTTAAATATGAAAATGAGGCATTGTCCAATGGTAGGTTTTGGTGAATTTAGGAGAAATCTACAGACGCAGGTAGTGAAATAAACACTTTAATGTTTATTTTGGATGTTATGGAAGCAAAATAACCCAAAATCTATATTGACCAGTGCGTGAAAAACAATGTTTTGGCCTACAGGTGTCTCCCCTTAACACAAGCTTCTGTCAAATCATGAGACGTTGCTCAAAGACACGGGACATTGTCTTTGTTAACACTGAACGACCTTTGGTATACCTACAGTATGTTTACATTCTATGCACTCATTGTGTCTGTTTCTCTCTCTTCCTTCAGCGCTGTGATCGTTACTCACCTTTGCACAGCGAGCACCTTCTTCACTCTTCTGTCATGGCTGCCCACATTCTTTAAAGACACGTTCCCCGATGCCAAGGTAACCAGGCTACTTGTTTGATCGCACGTTTGACCCCGAGGTAAAATGAATGACTCGGGGAAAACAATCACGAGGGATCAAATCAAGAAAGACTAAGCACGGCAGTGCTTTGAGCTAAATGCTAATGCCTGCATGCCAACATGCTCACAACAGCTAGCAGCTAACAGTTATAACGTTAACCATCTTAGCTTAGCCTGTTTGCATGCTAACGGCAATGCTAAGACTTCCGTAATTATTGTAATTTAAACCGAGATCTTTTCCGAAAACTAACTACGGTTGTTTCCTGTGAAGACTGAAGTTTATTTTGAAAAGACTGTATCCACGCAACGAGCACATATTGACTCTTTCAAACACACAAAACAATGAGAACTCTCTCGTGGGGTATCGCAGGAACCATTTTACGACGATACGTCGCATATATGTACTGTATACTATATATTGCAGGACAAGAGGATGACACTGAATGTTTCCTGCTGTTTCTGGTTGAGTTCATTCACACTTCACAAACTGTTGTTTTTCCAGGGTTGGGTGTTCAATGTCATTCCCTGGTTGGTGGCCATTCCCTCGTCCCTGTTCAGTGGCTGCCTCTCTGACCACCTCATCAGTCAAGGTAGATCAACTGAAGAAAAGATCTTAGTTTTTATTGATAAAGCAGCTAAATAATTGAGTGTCCTAATTCCTCTCGTTATCCCCACAGGCTACGACACAGCCTCAGTGAGGAAGTTGATGCAGGTACAATATGTGACCGATGACTTATTATTCCGTTATCTCTTTATTGTATGAGAGATTTTGATTGACATGTTTTTGTCTTTTGTTCATTCCCTCTGTTAGTTTTTCTCCATGGGTGTGTCCAGTGTGTTTACCCTCCTTCTGTGTGGCAACAACACCTTCCCCTGGGCTGTAGCATTTGTGTCCGCCACCATGGGCTTCACCACCTTCAGCCACAGGTACTGGCCCTGAGAAATGTCCCTACGCTCCGATCTCTCGCCCTGAAACCAGCACATTCTCATGCCTCCACGCCGGAGATTAGGGACCTTTCTGATGAAAGTTATATTACTATTGACTCAATACATCTAATATGTCTCCAACTGTCGGTCAGAACAAATGTAGATTTTACATTACAAATGTATTTTCATTCATATTCCAGCATTGAAATGCAATATATGCAAGAAACAATATAGATACAGTCGATGTCAGCAGGCTGGGAGCAGAACATAGTGTGTAGGCAAGACCACCAAGACCAAGAGAGCGTTTCGAGACCGAGACTTTGAGGGGTTGAGACCAAGACCAAGGCAGGGCGAGACAGAGTCAAGGCCAAGACCAGTGCGAGTCCCACACTGCATGACACTTAACAAAAAACACACAACACAATTTAAAAACACCCACAGAAAACAAACAAATATTCCTCTTCATTCACCTCTTTTATTGCCATTTATACTGTATATGTGTGCAACGAGAAATGTCTTGATACAATAATCCAAACTCGTTGCAGAGGTTCATTTTATTTTGTTTTCTACGAGCAATCCCGTAACGATGTCAACAAATCTATCAGACAATGCACAGGAAGATAAGTGATGTCCTCACAGCTGTGGTCTTGAAATATGCGGTCGATTCCGAGACCTTCAGACCGCTCGAGTAATACAACGCGATACCTTTCTCTGAACACAGACATATGTTTTCTCTTCTGATATATTTCAAATTTTCTTTTGTAGCTGAGATGTGTGAGTCAGTTTAGCACCTCATATGGCTCATGGCATGTGTTTCTTTTACAGCGGTGTATCTGTAAATGTTCAAGATCTTGCTCCTTCCTGTGCTGGAGCTTTATTTGGTAAGTTTAAAAAAAATAATCTAAAAACCACCATTTTTGTTTTATTTAAGATGATCAAAGCACAGGAGAAATTTTAATTAAATCTTGAATTTTGCATGTGTGCGTCTGCATCTCTTTCACAGGTGTCATGAATACATTTGGTGCGTTCTTAGGTGAGTTTCTGGCAGAGACACTGGGAACAAAATATCTGTGATGAATCTTTCACCAGCAGTTGCTAAATTACACCAATCTATCGAGTGAAATGATTCATCCGCTTCACACAAAATTCAAACTTTGAGCCGATGTGTCTCCTGTCAGTCAGTCATGCTGCCTCCTATGTGCACATGCATATTTCATCAAGGGAGCGTAATGGAGTTTGTGTCAGATGAATAATACAGGGAGCAGAGGATGACAGTTCACGGTCCTGTGAGGGATGTGGAACGGGCCGTGACATTCTCTCTGCGGGACAATCACATGGAAGATATTTGTGTGCTTTGTTTAAATATTTGTGGTAATTTGCTATTAATGGTGATGGTGTGCGTGTGCTTCCTGTGCAGGGGTCCTACTGGTGTATTTCTCGGGGTATCTCATCGAGACCACCGGCTCCTGGACGTCTGTGTTTGCCCTCATCACTACAGTCAACCTGCTGGGCCTCTGCACCTTCCTGGCCTTCGCCGAGGCCCGCCGGCTCGACATCGACCCGAGCAAGGTCCGCCACCATAACATCCACATCTAGATCCAGAGGGACCAGCGTGCTATCCCCCCTCCAAGGGAGATACGACCCTTTGGCAACCAGCAGCTTGGGCATTGTCCGAAAACTACTTTGATCGGCTCTGTGTCTGGTTGATGAAGTACCGCAAGAGTTACTGAAAAGCACACCGCAGAGCTTGCTCACTATTAATGACAAATTGTTGTGGAGCTAAAGCATCAAATCCTAGAAAAGAAACACAGCTGTGATCAAGGCTGGAATGGGAAAGTAATAAAGTCCACACTACCTCCAGGTCTCAGCTTGGGCAGCACACAGTGGTTAGAGGTGCTAAATTCGATTATTCGGAGCGTAACAGCTGGTAATATCTCCCTGAGCAGGGAATGAAGTCAATCTCTCTCTCCTTTTGTTCTAATCAGAGTGTCTCCGTTTTTTGTTGACATAGCTGGGCCGTGTTTCTAGTCCACGTTGTGGAAGCGTAGCACGCAAACCTCCGGTTCCCCCTTTCGGGAAAAACACTGTTGGCTCTGCCAGCACTGTTTTGCCCGTTGTTCCCGCTGCTGTCAGCACCATTAGCTGTGAGCCGTCGCCATGTTGAGAGCCGTCGAGAGGCAACAGAAAAATGCTCCCGATCTCGCATTCAGCACCTTTAAACCGTTACCGGGCTGCTGATTTACACTTGTCATTTGTTACAGAATGTGTTACTGAGCACGAGGGAAGTCATGGAAATCGTCGAGAGTGACGGATGTGGAGCTCTCTGACAGTTGTGACTTATCGAGGTGTGTGTGTGTGTGCGCGCGTGTGTGTGTGTGTGTTCGTTCTTACCCTGCGGGGGTGGTGGGGGAGACGGTGTGGGTGACGCAGGGAGAGTCCAGCCTCCCGCACCTGAAGTCTTTTATTAGTACGCCCCACTCACCCATCACTGTCTGAGTGACACCTCATTACCCAGCCGCTAATTACTTGGCAGGCGCTCTAATGTCCTTTACCGTTTCCTGCTATACTCCTCATCTCCATGGCTACACGCTCATCCTGTCAGTACAGTCAGACGGGTCACGGCGACGCGGCTTTGATGGAGTGCGTTCTCACCGTTTGTTGCTTTAAAGAATATGTTTTGAGTTGAAAGACCAAAGGTAATTCATTTTCCTTTATTTCTATGTGATTGCATGTAATAGAAATACCAAACTTAATGTACTTTGGAGTATATTTATTTGATTCAAATTAATTTTTTTACATTTCTTTTTAATGAATATTTTAAGTTAAAATGAATAAATATATATTAGGTGAGATGACAGAAAATCATAATAAGTTATTAACAGTGTAATGCAGTATGAATAACCCTAATAGACCTTTCAGCGGGTCTAGTTTCCTCGCTTCTTTTCTGACCTCCACTTTGAGGGAAAAGGTCCACATCATCACTTTGGTGAAAACTAGATCTCCGACTTGTTGTCATCGCACTTAACTTTGATGTTAGCTAGGCAGGAGGAGATGTCTGAGGTCCCTCCCCTTCCGCTGTTCCCCGTGGGATCTTATTTTGGGCAAAAACATATGTATGTTTGTCAATGGAGAGAGTCAAATAGTTTTTTTATCCCGTTTGAATTTGTGCCATAAATTACACACGTGATGTTGGCCAATTTAACAGATAACATTGCACGCAAAGAAAGAAGCAGTGTGTCGCAGGTTTGTTGTAGTACCATCTAGTTTTGAGTTAAAGAGCCCAGTGAACCACATCTCTGTTCGACACCAACACCAACATGGCCGTTACTTTGGCTTGCTAGCGAGCTAGCTAACTTAGCTATGTTCCACCCACAAATGTAACGTTATCTCACCTGATGCGTTTTTATCCAGCGATTCTTTTTTCTTTTTTTTTTTAATCAGCCTTGAAACGAGTGAGTTGGTGTGAATTCATCCTGGTACGAAACACACCGGCACCGTAGCTTCAGAGAGAGGCGTCAACTACTCGACTTTCGGCGGCGTCGTCTTTTTAATTGGGTCTTTTTCACTTATACTTCAACAGTTGTACGACAAAACGTAACTTTCTTAACGTGCAAACATTTATTTTAGTTGACCTGACATTGTATGTGTAATTCATGGGATAATTCAAACGGGATGAAATAATTATTTATCTCTCACCGTTGACTATCGTACATATTTCTTCTGAAATAAGGTAGCATGGTGGTCAACCAAAAGGGGGCGGGACTTCACCTCCCTATAGTTAGCACAGAATGGAGCCCATTCACGCGTCATGGCGGTGTCAGAAATGGTGTCTCTGTCTCGCTGAGGCAGATTTAAATATAGTTCCTCTCTGTTACGCACTGACGCGATGAATGTTGCCGGTCAGGTGAGAGGATTTAAAAAATCTTGAGGCTCAGTACAGTTGAGCAACTGGAGAACATTTGGAACGTTGACGCAAAGTACGTAGCAACGAGCTAGCTGTCAAGCTCCGGCTGAATGTTGAAGTGAGTGTTTGTAGCATTTAACTTTGGCATTCACAGCACAGAAAGATTTCACTTGCAGTCCAGATGCTCACGTCACACGTGTACCTTTTTTTTTAAATCTATGCATTTATTATGTTCTGCCCGATGTAAGCAATGGCAGAACTTTAAGATGTGTTCACACTGTCATGTAATTGATTCTTGTGCTATCGCTACATTGTTGCCTTCTCTGTAGGAGTTTTGTTGCTTCTGTGGGACTGGTTATCGTTATTCACATACAAAGACGCACGCGTTTTCTTGAGTGTTTTCTACAAACACTCTGAAGTGCATCCTTTGGCTGGAATGGATTTATTTTTCAGAAGTGCCCATTGTCTTGGTCAGTGGTTACAATGTGGACGTGGATTTATTTAAAACCATTGCTCTGTCCCTCAGATTAAAGATGCATTTACTGTATATCAAATGTACTTAGATCGTTTGTGTCTACTGACTATTTAGAATAATTCATTTTGATATAAAATCTGATATCTACGCCAAATGTCACTTTGATTCTGTACCGACTATGTTTATTTGATGTGTTTGTACACAAAGTGTCTGCCTACACCTTCCAGATACCAAATGTATTTACACGGTACAAAATACTCAGCCGTCAACTTCTTAGCCTTATTATTGCATTATTTACAACTGCATTCATTGCTTGTAGCTTTGTGTTGTTACTACATCTTGCAACATGTTGTATGAAATAACTCATCTGGTCACCAATATTTCTCACTTTGTGTTCCTGAAAGCCTTTCTGTCAAATCCTGTTTTGATAACGTGTAAGATATGTATGATAGAAAGAATACATTCCTGCAGGAAATATGCAGTATTCTAATGCTTTTAAGACGTGTTGTATTTAAAAGCATATATTAACTTTGAATAAAAAAAGTCTATTTTGTCAACACTGCTGAGTTGTTTCAGTGTGCTGCTCTCTCTGTATGTATTTGCTCTGTAGTGCCATGAGGAGGCAGCACAGTGTCAACAATGAGGAGAGCGCATCCAGCCTCCCAATACGTTCTTCTGCCGTGTAGATGGGAGTATCTGTGGATGATCTCTTATAATGCAGTACAAGCAGAACATTGTTTTTCATGCACTAGTCAATTTTGAGATTTTCTTCTTTCAGGCTAGTGGAAAGAAAACGTCCAAAATACACATTCAGGTGTTTATTTTACTACTTTGTCTATTTGCTTCTGTAGATTTCTCCTAAATTCACCAAAAGTGACCAATAGATAATGCCTCATTTGCATATTTAAACATAACATTTCAGAAAAGTTGTAATAAAAAAAGATAGTCTTAATGTCGGTAATCAACTGGTGAAGTTTCATGGTGATATCGATTAGTTCATTTTTGGTTTTTTTCAACCAATTCACCTGTAGTGTTTTCAGAATGTAATTTTACAAAACATCTCAGACATTCATATCTATATTCTGAAGGTTGTTAAAGACGGGTTTAGTAATATATTAATTCCCTCATTTATACAACATTTTATTACAGAAATCATGGTGAAAATAGATTTTCTTTTTATGGCTGTTGACAGAATCTTGTGATTTATGGAGTGATACAGAGTTATCCAACATTCCCTCTGTAAAAACATTTGACTAACATGTCAACAATATTTTTTTAACCTGTTTTTATGCAATGTTCACATTCCTGGTCTGGGAATTTATGCAAATGAGCTCATATTTAATAAGATCATGCCTCATTTGCATATTCAAACAACAAATACTTGTCCTGATGTAAGTACTGAACTGGGGAAGTTTTCATGGTGATTTCTATTAGTTATTTCATAAACACGTGTTGCCTACAGGTCAAGAATGATCAAGATATTTTCCACTGAGAACCTGAGAACCCTTCGTCTGTTCACGAGTCGTCAGTCCTGCATGTGGATCAGCTGCTGGATCGGGGTCTATAGAGCGCAGGTCCGTCCTGTGCAGACCAGCGGCTCGCTTACGGGCCCAGATCCCGAGTCCGGGCTAGCTGGGACGTATGTGGCGGCACCATATGGCAGGATGCTGTGTGCCATGTTGGCTAGCTTGGCACTGCCCACGTGTGAATGGCCAGACGCTAGTCAACCCAACCCACTCCATCTCATGGGACCGAGCGGCTCGGGTTGCCATGGAGACGGGTGGCTTGTGGCTGCCGTGTGGCGACGGAAAGGGAGGAGGGGGAGGGGGGGACGGGTCACAAGTGAGGGAAAGTAACAAGTCAGATAGAAGTCAGCGGAGTCTGAGTGAGTTGGCAGGGAATTTGACTTTTGATGTATAGTTCATACAAAAAAACAGCCCCGGTGCTAAAGAGGTGGCCGGTCGCTTATTGGAGTGCTCTTGCTGACAGAAAATGGTGTTGTAAAAGCAGACATAATCGTGATGAGTGGCCCACTATTTAATTAGCAGAGATGAAACACAGCGAGGGTGAGCGTGGAGGAAGAAGGGGAGATAATAAAAAACCCTCCCCCAACTTGTAAGAGTAACCCAGTAAAGGCAGGCCCCATCAGAGAAGCCAGAGATACATGTAAATGAAATAGCCCCGTTAATTAGTAATTAACATCGAGTTAATGACATTTCACCGTGTCGCCATCTCATCCTATGTCCTTTCCTCTGTGGTGGGGGGGGGGGCTGCCTCTCCGGGTCCCTGATCTGAATGCTAATTAGTGCAATGCTAAACTGCCATATAGGGCTATCTAATGATATAGAGGCCTTGTTTAAGACTGGTCATTGTGTGGGAAGGATTAATGACTTTGTAGTGGCAGATCAGGAGGCTTTATAAGTCTGTTACTCCTTAGAGGGCTGTGATATTGAGGGCCATTGACAGGTTTTATGTGCTAATTGCGTTGCGCCTGTTAGCCTAATGTTGGATCGTCCCTTATGAATAAGAACTACTTTTAACCATTCTCCTACTCTTTCAAAAATACATCCAAGACATGTTTCTGTTAAACGAGCACTAAATGGTTTCAAAACGTATCATTTCAGTGTGGTGCGCATGGGTTTGATTGGGTTTGAGGGCCCCTGCAGTGGTTACATTTTTTTTTTTGGTGGGGGGG